CCCCAAATCCCACCAGCCCCCCCTACCTTATAAAAAATGAACGGTCCCTAACCTGAGAGGATCAGACCTAAATGGAGGAATAAAGTCTCTTAGACCTAATTCTAACTAGCGATATAGAGCGGTTTTCAACTGAGTGTCGTAAAACCAAGACCAAAGAAATCACTCTAGCCAATCACAAAGGACACAGACAATACAGCGAACCAATCAAAACTCGAAGTAATTACATGTAGCTGACGCAAAGCGCGGGAAAACGTGGGCGAATGTGTTACGATTGGTCTTGGCTTGACTTCTGATTGGATGAGAAAAAGGCGCGAGTTGTTTAAGCCAATCGTGAAGCGTAGTTGATGCAAAACCAATTACTTTTCGACACTCAAATGAAAACCGTTCTAACGACATAAACATAACGACATCAGAAGGACGTTATGTCTTTATGTTTGCAATGTGAACATCCTGACACAGTCACACAATTGCAACAAAACAACCTGAACATAACGACACGAGGATAAAAAAAAAAGATCTTTTCCTTATGTTTTTATGCCGATGTTCACATAAACTATTTTGTTGTATAGCTGGTGTTTTACCCGCTACAGCGCACCCATTCATTGGCTAGTTCATGGTCACATGACATCTAACGATGAAACTGTTTCCCACCAAAAGCCATGAGCGGGCAGCATTGCGAAAACTATGACTTCAAACGGACACAGTTCACGGTTACCCGCGAAATGTTGACCGCTGTTGCACGTCATTTGTCAATAAAGTGATTATTGACCCATTTGTTTTGTTAAATATCAATCACTTAATGACTGGTCCCCATTGGAACAGTAAATTTTGCTTCCCTCCAATCTCTATGTTTCCCTCGACTTCGTCTCGGCAAATATTGAGATTCTCAGGAAACAAAATTCACTGTTTCCCTCGGGACCCGTCATTAAGTGTTAAATGTCGCTGTCATTATGTCGTTTATGTCGTTATGTCGCTAGTGTGAACTGGCCTTTACTTTTCATCCTCTCTATTCAAATCAAACCCCATTCTCGTCCCCAGAGTCCGCGCTCCTCTTGGTCAGCACCAAGAAACGCTCACTTAGAGGAGCGCAGACTCTGGGGACGAAAACGAATTAAGCTAAGTCAAGTCCTCTCTATTCATGCGGGGTGACCCCTTCAGCACTGGGCTGAAATCAATAGGGGCCGCCCGGCGTAACTTATGGCTACAACAAGATAAAAAGCCTATCAATATAAAAATATCACAATATAAAAAGAATATATATATAACTTTAAAAAGCTTATTAAATCTGTACAATAATTGTTACTAAAACTAGGACTGAACTACATTTTCTAACTATCGATTAAAACCGGTTACAAAAGAACTGGTCAACGTTGTTTTCTTGTTCTTAAAAAAGAGCGACGCAGCTTCTTCCATTATTTTCAGGAATTTAAGAGAAAGGACCGAACACAGAATATGCGTTTTTTCCTAAACTTAATTTATGGTTAGGCAACTGAATGTAGTTTCTATGTCTAGTGTTGTGACGTGAATGTTATTTTTTATAGGACTAAACCATTCAAAAATCTCAAGACTAAAATACGCCTATGGATTTTTCACTGTTTATAAATTTATCCAACCTAACATTGGATCGTAACCCTTCTTTCTATTATAAATGTTGCTCTATTCTGGAGACGCTGTAAGTTTTTAATGACAGCTTACCCCATACAGTGCCCGTAATCAGTTGTAGTACCAAACAGTTGTATACGCATAACCCTAAGCCCAATCCACGCTGAATAAGAAACATGTTTTGCAAAAGTGAACCAGAAACGTTCATAGAAATGCTTTGATTCGAAAACTTTTAAAACCTTTGTACAATGTACTCTGTCCTCACCTGCCTGAGGGCTTAATCTGGCAACCAAGCCGACTCATTTGTTACCCTTTGGACACCGATCGCATACAAATTTTGTTTTCCTACGGCTCTATATTTCTTAACTTTTTACTATTTTCATTTACTTTACTTATGAACTATATTTAATATTAATTGATGATCGATGATAATCATACATACAAACATAAACTTTATTAACATGCCGAAATGTTTAGGCGAGAGGAAACATCCCTCTACTAATCGGGACACTTAATATAATTAAAACCTACTAATGACCTACTAAATGACTAATCACTACTTAACTGATTACCAATCGACTACCGAGCGATTATTCATTGATTTCATTGATGTCATCACTAAGTTACGTCTGTATCTCAGGACAGCTGATGAATTACGTCGCAGAGTCGTTTTTATAACGTAAGGTCAGCTATCAGGGGAAAGCCACATTCACTTAACAGGTCATACAAATCTCCCACAGTTATGTGACGCTGCTTAGCAACGAAAGTCAGGGCAGCGTCAAGAGGGTTCAGAGTACGTTTGTCAAGGAAACGTATCTCTTTTGGAGTGAGGCCCAGTTCCTCAGCAACCAATTTCCACTCTTCTCCACCTACGACACACACACAAAATCAAACATTCATTCCTGTGATCTAGAATAAGTCACGAATACAAAAAACGTTTTCGCTCCACTAAATGTCTAAATCAGACACCTTTTCTACACAACTTACCACACAAATCAACTGTGAGGTCTCTTCTCTTAGAACCAGGGATATTCTGGACATCAAGGTGCTCAGGCATCCGAGGACCTAAAGAAAAGAAAAGAGTATAAT